TTGTTCTGTTTGTTTGTTTGTTTGTTTGTTTGTTTGTCCATCTACCCACCCACCCACCCAAAGGATTTATAGCTCTCTCTTCATTGATACTAAAACCACGATGGGATACAACATAAATATGAGTTTGTGTGAATGTAAACACATCAGATTTCCCATGGGGAAATTCCTTGTTTGAAAGCACCCTTCATGTCAAGATTCTGGATTGACATTCGGTGTTGTTTTTCTCTATATCCAGATAATTACCAGTGGTCCTGGATTCATAAACATACAACAGTTGCAAAATTGAGCATATTGATTTATTGGATCTTGTTCACTTACAGAAAAAAAAATGTTTATACATTTTTATAACAATAGCAGCCAGACAAAAACAACCAATCCACTTTTTTTTTTTTTTTGCCAGTGAGCAACTACTTATCTCTGTTCTTTCTTCTTTTTTCAGGCTCCCTTCCTCTACAAAGGCAAGGCCTTTTATAGGATTTGTTATTATTTTATAGTAGATAAATTAAGCTCCTCATCTGCACCTTCTAGTAGCAAGTAACGGTTTCCTATTAAGGCTTTGGAATAACCTCCCCACTGTCAAATTTTAAATTGTTAGCTCTTCAGGACAGGGACCTGTTTTCTTGTACACTGTTGGCACAACATTCCTTAGTTATTACATTTTAAACCTACTTTTCCTCTAAGGAGCTCAAGGTGACATTTATGGTTCTCCCCCTTCTTATTTAATCTCAACAATAACCGTATGAGGTAGGTTAGGCTGAGAAACAGTGGCTGGCCCAAGCTCATCCAATGAGATAGATAGCTGAATGGGAATTTGAACTCTGGCCTCCCAGTCCCCGGTCCAGCACTCTAACCACTACCCCACACTGATTCAATACTGATTATATTCTAAAATCACTGATTATATTCTAAATCCTAAGGGTGTGTTTGCATGGTTGGCTCCTAGGCTGATGTGATTTTGTAAAGTGTACAAGCAATCAACATAAAATAACTCTGTGAGCACCTTATTTTTAGGCATATATGTTTGCTGCATGTGTTTAGAAGGTGACATGTAATTTGCATGCAGATCATTTGTGTCTCTTTTATTGCAGTCAATTGTAGCTACTTAACTTAAAATATATGGCATGAACTGTGTGAATGTCATACATTTTTATTCATTTAATTATTTATTTAACAGAATGTATTTATCAGTTAATCGTCAAAAACTTACCCATTTACATATGAGGTATCTACATGCAGAGCAGGCTACTTCCTCTCTTAATGGACATTATTTTTCTGTAGGAAAATGGTTAACCTATTGGGACAGGGGTGGGATGGGGGTGGGATCCAGGACAAGTGTAACCATCTGCTCACCATTTGGTGCGGTTTTACTTGCATTTATTACCTGTCCGTTTCATAAAACTGTTCTCTTCTGTGGGTTGCTTTTGGGATATGCAAGTATAAAACTGGTCAACCTGAAGGTTACTGGTCATCAGTAAGGTAATATTTCCTTTGATGACCCAATCGATCTGTTAGGTTCTGAAACTCTCCATAAAAAACCACTGAGCTTTTGCTGCCAGAAAAGCAATTTGCAAACTCTGTGTATGATGAAAGCAATTTTGCCTGTGGTCATAAATCTGTGTTTTGTAACTTTTGGAATTTCAAAGACACAGCGGGCATCCAAGCAAGACTCTTCTTTTGTTTGCATTTCAGCTGCTTATCATCCAGATTTCGGTAAAAAAATAAATCACAGAAATATTTTCTTTTTAAAACTTATTTTTATTCTGTATTTCTTTCCCTATCCCCGATTGAACTTTAATTTTCCCATCCCTTCTCTCTCTCTCTCTCTCTCTCTCTCTCTCTCTCTCTCTAAAAAACTACTCGTGATTTGATGGACACAGAGAAATCATGTGATTAAATGTTTTTGGTGTGGAGTAATGTGTCTATGAATAACACATACGCAAAGCTGTATGCTTTATTTTAAACAGATTGCCAGTAAAGCATAATCCCAAGAAGATGGAGACACTATTAGAGTCCAAAATAAATGAATATATCTGATTTATAGATCCAACCCAGCAGAACATGTCAAGGCCTGTTTTTCCTTGCACATAGACTAAAGGGAAACAGAAATATCCAAAAATCACATATCACATTTAAGATGATTATATAAGGTTGACGCGATGGTTGTTGCAAAATGGGGAAAGCTGGTGGGAGTGTGCTACCTAGATCTTGCGAGGACAGTTAGTATAACAGATTGGGAGGCATGCTCTGCTTTTGCCTTTGCAACTTTTAAACCACCCATATATGGTAGGCTCCATAAATATCCTGGGTTTGCTGCCTGACTGGAACTGCAAACACAGGAGATGGTTGAGCACCTGGCATAGTGGATGGGATGTGTTAGGCTCTGTAGTTCCGAAGCTATTCTGACACACAGTCTGGGCACATGGATCAGTTCGGAGTGGTTGTTCTCGTCTCTCAGCCGCTTTTACTACAGCATTTCATATGGAAGTAGAGCAGAGGAAACCACTACCTCATTACTTTACCTGGTTTTTGATGCCCAGTCATCCAGCAGTTTAGAACAGAAATGAGCAAAATGTATTTGCTTTGTGCATTTTTCCCAGCTTTATTTTATGCAGCCTGTTTCTTGGATCTCAGTGGATTTACGATTGCTAAAATATTCTCTGATTACAGTAACCTTTTAATTGTATATACTTTAGTGACCATCTGTGCAGAAATTCAACAGACAGGCCAACACCGCACATTTGGGAAAAACTCATTTGTTGGTGAAATAATACAACCTACAAATAACAACTAAAACAGCAGGAGCTGCTTTAAACAAACAAAGAAACAAACAAACAAAAATAGTAATGTATAAAAATTTGCCAAGCACCAGAAACAATCTAGGTGCTGTACAGTTTCTTAATATACAGCTTTTAAAGGCCTAGGAGCCTTGCTAAACATAATCTAACAGCCATTACACCCCATCCCATCCAGTACTGTTTGTTGTGTTTTACAAATGCAACAAAATACAACTCACATGCCAGGTGTACCTAGTAGGTAATAAAGATAGGACCTTTTAAGTGATGGCCCCTAATCCCTGGAACTCAGTCACATTAGTTCTGGCCTTCAGAAAGGATTTGAATGGTTCAACTGAGATGATTTTCTTAAGTTTACTGCTGGCTTTTAGACTATGTTATTTGACCTTGTGCTAGTTGGAGAGTATACAATAATGGGGGAAAGCAGTGATTATGGCGTAAAAACCTCTCAGATGAGGTGCTTAAAGGAATAATCAACAATATTTAAGCCATAACAATATGAAACATGAACCCCTTCCTGGGTCTGTGAGCATCATACCATTTGAGTACAGAACATCCTTGTAAATAAGCCCACGAAAGTTACTAGCCTGCACCTTATTTTGTCAACCTAAGAGACTCATAATTTCCATGTTGTCTGGAAAAGACTGAAAGCCTTCTCTTCTGGACTGGAACCAGAATGGAAATGAGGCTTGTTTCTTCCATGCAAGCTAGCAGCAGAGAAAGGGGGTTCCCTTTGTGTGTGGTCATCACAGAAACCAAAATGTTGCAAGGAGTAGCGGAAAGAAGGGAGGAAGAACAGAACAATCTGTCCCTCTTCTGCCATCCCACTCATTTGCCAGCACAGAATTCCTTGTTGCCTACAACAAGTGGACAAATTGCAGAAAAGAAGCCTGAAATAAAAGCACTGGAAGGTTTAGGTTTTTATTTTTCATTCAGTCCAGAGTGTAGACAGATTGAAGCCAAGACACAAGGTGTGTTCAGGCAAACACTATCTGTGGGTATTTGGGGAGGTGGGGGCAGAGGCAGGCAGGCATGCTTCATCCCCATGAATATCACCAAGTTAGTTTAGTTCCCAGCCTTCACCGTATTGAGCAGGGAATGTTTACATGGGGCTTCTACTCACATTTTCTTGAATGCATGTTGAGCCGTTTGAATGGTTAGCTGAAATTTGTTTAGATGTCTTTGTCTGATTATTTATACACATAAAGATTAACCCCAGCCTTCCTTAAACCTCAAATCATAGTTGTACTGTTTATCTTTAATTCATAGTGTTAAATACAACTGTGCTCCAAAAACACATTAGGTTTAATTTTATTCAAATAAACAATGCAACAGTTACCCAGATGTCATGTTAGAAGCATATTTGGAAGGCACGTTTGTTCTCACTTTCACAAATCCTTGCTTTTATTTAAGATAATTGGGCTTTGGGGGATAACTGTTGCCAGCTGTTCTCAGACTATAGAAACAACATTCAGGATTCTGGTACAGCAAGAGAAATGTACAAAACTACAAAATACCACCAACATCCTGAGTACTGTGTCAGCCAAAAAAATAAAAATCCAAACATGTATTCATTTAAAAACTATATTCTACTTTTCCACTTTAATAGAATGTCTACTTTGACCCATGAGGCTGTTTTGACTTAGCCGCACACACTTGCCGCACACACTGCACACCTGATGTCATATATGGCATCACCCATTAGGGCAGACAAAGTTGTGGCTGGATCATGGGGTTGCAGGCACTTCTTATCAGCTGATTGGCAATACCTGGAAAGCCTGGGTCACAGCAATTTGCAAGCACCAATTTGCAAGCTGAATATCCCAATGATCAATAGCCATTATATAGAACAGAGGCCTTTCAACACCACTTCCTGGGTCTATCCCTCCAGAAACCACCATAGTCATCATAATACTTTAGCTGCAAATTCTACTCTGGCAAGGCAATCCAGAATTCTACCATGGCTGATGGCATCGAAAGTCCCCGAGAGGCCCAAGAAAATTAACATGGCAGCACTCCCCCCCCCCCAGTTGATTTTCTTGCCCAGGTCATGCACCAGATTGGAATGGATCCAGTAATCAGTGTCACCTCAAGCTGTCTTTAAAATTGGTCCTTTGCAATCCTAAGTGAAGCAATGACAGGGGAAAAAAAAGAAAACAAGGAGTTCTTATTCTTTGCTTTTGACCCTGACTATACCATTTTCACTAGGGAGCTCATAATTATTTTCTGTCGGATGTTCCTGTTACTCGAGAGCAGCTGTGCCACTATCGGAATGCAGCAGAAACAGCTCGTAGTGAGTTAGCAGCACTCCTGGTGAAGTATGAATGTTCCCAGGCAGAGGTAAGTTTGGAACTGACATGAAAATGTTTCTTAACCTATTTGTATCACAAATGTTTCTTGACCCACAGAAAACATCCAGTGAGCTACACTTACCAGATGGTACATGCTGATAAATGCCTCATTTTACAGGTATCATGGCATGGTTAGTGTATTTGGCTTGTGTCCAGAGTTTTGTCTCATCTGAAGTCTACAAACCTTCTTTTAGGCCTTAGACTACAAACCAGAAGTTTCACTAAGTTCAGTAAGAATGACTGATATTGGACTATAACCTTAGTCTTGTTTCCCCTTGGCCAGGGGTCTGCAACCTTTAAGACAAAAAGAGCCACTTGGACCCGTTTCCGAAGAAAAAACAACAACTGGGAGCCGCAAAACCATTGCGACATTTAAAACAAATATATCTCCGGAGCCGCGATCTGACAGCGGGCGGGAAGGTGACGTTGGGACGGTGCATGACTAACGCACGCACTGCCCCCATGCGACGTCACAGCCAGTACAGCGCCCGCCACAGTGAGGAGTGTCGGGGCGCACAATGCGCCTCCTCCCCTCGCTAGTATCCGCCCCGGAGCCGTGGCAAAGATGTAAAAGAGCCACATGCGGCTCCGGAGCCGCGGGTTGCAGACCCCTGCCCTTGGCTTAGCCATCCAGGTCCCATAGTCCACATACTACTTAAATCTTGTTGAAGTGAATGGAATGCGAGCAAGATGGCAGAGGAGCAGCTGAAGGTGCTTTATACTGTGTCAAAGCATTGGTCCAACTAGCTCAGTATCGTCTACCCTGACTGGCAGCTGCACTCAGAGCTTTCATACAAAGGGCATTCCCAGTTTTAAAATGGTTTATTCTGGTTAATAAGACTTTGTATTGGCCATGCCTAACTAACCATTCCCAGCACGCAAACTGCAAGCTTCAGGAAGTTGTTCTCAGGCAAGAAGCATGAGTGCCGCAACATCCCTGTGCATGAATAAGCACATGTACAGTGTTTGCTATATTCACGACGGTATTCTACAATTTGCATGGCCTAAGCACTGAAATTGGCATTTGTCATCCTCTAAACCACAGAGCCTAGGGCTTGCCGATCAGAAGGTCGGCAGTTCGAATCCCCGTGACGGGGTGAGCTCCCGTTGCTCGGTCCCTGCTCCTGCCAACCTAGCAGTTCGAAAGCACGTCAAAGTGCAAGTAGATAAATAGGTACCGCTCTGGCGGGAAGGTAAACGGTGTTTCCGTGCGCTGCTCTGGTTCGCCAGAAGCAGTTTAGTCATGCTGGCCACATGACCTGGAAGCTGTATGCCGGCTCCCTCAGCCAGTAAAGTGAGATGAGCGCTGCAACCCCAGAGTCGGCCACGACTGGACCTAATGGTCAGGGGTCCCTTTACCTTAATTTTCAGATTTCATGGTGGTTTTCTAGACTTAAGGTTGTGAAGGTAGTGGAAGCGGCTTTCAAGTGATCATGTGTGGACTGGACCTTCTAAGGACATTTTTAATGACTGAGCTGGTACCATTAAGTAGAGTGAGGTAATCACCTTAGGTGGCAGATGATGTGGGCAGCAGCAGTCTCCCTGCCCAAGCTGGTCCCAAGTCCCTTGGACATTCCCTTCTGTTGGAGATTATAACTATGTGTGCCAGAGGCTTATCATACATCCCCTAATGTAGCCTGCTGCCCTCAAGTGCAGTGGAGAACACAATCCCATTGCCAGTGTTGATGTTAGACTCAGCTGCAATTCCAGTCAACTTCTGTCCATGAAATGAGGGTGGCACTATGCATCTTCTTCAATACATGGGTAAGCAGTATAATTTACTTGATCTGCAGATCAATCTGATGCATTTGTCCATCAAATTGTAAATGTAGGTCACACATGACAAAATCAGAAAATAATCTACAGACTTTTTTGCTTTTTCCACATTTTCTGTTTTTAATTAATGGACAGTCCATTAATTACATGTAAGAGAATGTGCTTTAATGCATAAACTTTTACATTGTAGCAAAATCCAGCACATTCAATACAGTGGTACCTCGGGTTACATACGCTTCAGGTTATATACGCTTCAGGTTACACACTCCGCTAACCCAGAAATAGTGCTTCAGGTTAAGAACTTTGCTTCAGGATAAGAACAGAAATCATGCTCCGGCGGCGCAGCAGCAGGAGGAGGCCCCATTAGCTAAAGTGGTGAAGTGGTGCTTCAGGTTAAGAACAGTTTCAGGTTAAGTACAGACCTCCGGAACCAATTAAGTACTTAACCCGAGGTACCACTGTAGTTGGTTCTTTTGTCTTGTTCTTTTATTGTGGGTGTAGGTTTTTGCTTTAAGGAGTATAGTTTACTAATCTTTTGAATTTAATCAATCAATCAATTAATTTACTGCCCTTTATCCAAATATCACAGGGCTGTTTACAACATGAAAACACAAAACTCATTACATAGCTGCAAAAAGTGAATACATTTGTTGTTGCCAGATCTGTTTAATTAATTTTTGAGTGAAAAGTGATTTTCTTTCCTTATTGCATCTTGTTAGCATGTTAAGTATAGTTCCCACGATTTTGAAGTGCAAATGTCACACTTCAGCATATGGTGAACCTGAAGCTTTTCAAGCACCTGTTTCCATAAATTCTGTAAATAGCAGTTCCATTATATTTATTGTGCAGATTAAAGTTTAACTGTAAATGCTGCAGTGGTTCTCTTTATTCCTGTTTAATAATCTGGTTTAAAACCCTCATCCTGAACATGTTTCAACAGATATTTGCAAAATAAAGCAGCATTGACTTTATTTTCAGTCAAGCACTTTGGTTCAACTAGTTTGGTGAGAGAGCCACTTTGAGAAGGTCCTGTGGCTGTGAGTGGAAGGCAAAACCTTCCCCAAGTAGCTAATTTCATTTCTGCAACTCACACTTTGACTCCCTCTTCCCCTATGCGCTTTTAACTGGGAAATTGAGAATTGTTATTTAAGGACTCAAATTGCTGTTCCGTAACCATATCTTAACTTGAATAACTCATTTTTGATGTGATTTTTAAAAAAAATAAAAATCATTGTTCAGATAATACAGAAAAAGTAATGTTGATGAGGCAGGATGGCTTCCATTTATGAGTTCCATGTGAAATAAGAATAACAATCTTTGCTAAAATCAGCTCCCTTTGTCAGAAGTTTGGGAAGTGGCTAGCATCATAGTAATTTTTAAGAAAGCTTTAAATACTGAAAGAAGGACACCCCCCCAAAAAAAAAGTGTGAGGGGAGGCAGAGCCTCACATTGATACTCAGACGTGGAAGATTTATTATGCTGTGTTGCTTGCCCAGAAGCGTTTTTAGGGGCCAGAAGGTGCTATAAAACTAATCTGTAGTAGTAGTTCATTTGGGGCATGTTTTGCAAAGAAAATGTTTTTGAAGAAACTTGGTCTACTTAACATACCCTGATTAATATTGTGGGGTAAAATATTTCTTCCATATGGTACTTTCAAACCAATCCTATGCATATTTACTAAGAAGTGAAAGGCGCAGATTTCAGTAGACCTTGCTCTCAAATTCATGTGCATAGGGTTGTATCAGGCTTGTTCTTTTCACATGCAGTCCACCTTGCTGGTTAAATGTAATGTAATACACTGATGCAAGAAATTAAAACAAATTTAAGTGAATAGGCAAATTTAAAACTGTCCTGGGAAGGAAGAAATTCAGTAATTAAGATAATAACTTAATAACAAGTAATTAACTTATGCCCCCCTCTCCTGATACTTGAAAATGGTTAAAATATGCACTGTCATATTGAGATTTTCCTTGCATGCCTGCATTTCATGATCCATTTCTGTTTATAGCTTCAAGATCTTAAATCCAAAATAGCCTCTAAAGAAGTATCTGTTCAGGAACTGAAGGCTGACGTTGAAAGCTATAAGCAGAACGATGCTAGGCAATCTTCTCTACTCCTCTCCATGCAAAGCAGACTCCAGGAGATTGAGAAGGAATCTGGAACAATTGCCTTTTCTAAAAAACAAGCAGACCTGAAAGCACAGGCCATTCTCCAGGAGAATTTGGAACTGAAAGAGAAAACCAGTGAACTGGAAAGTAAAGTCAGGTAAGGACATCAAACAAATTGACATCTTAACCTAAAATAATTGCCCTAGAGCAGCCTTTCCCAACCTGCTACTCTCCAGATGTTTTGGACCACACTTTGCTGGCTGGAGCCTGGTGGAAGTTATATTGGAAAACATCTGGAGGGCACAAAGTTGGGGAAGCACATGTATTTTCCACTGACTTTTTTTAGTTTCTGTGGTCAGTTGGAAGATGAGAGCTTGTATGTAAGAGCTAATAGGCTTAATAACACTAGTTTTTTGAGTAATTGTTTTAGGAGACTATCATGGGGACTTCATCAAAAACCTTACTGAAATCAAGATATGCTACATCCACAGCATTCCCCTGATATATGAAGCTTGTAACTAGATCTTAGTAGCTTGTTGGTTTTATCCTGTTTCTTTGGTGATAGTGCCTAGAGATAGGGAGGTATGATGTAAAAACCTTTGTAAATGCACTATGGAGTTTGACCTAGACTCCTATTGAGTATAGTTTGTGACCTGATTTCTGATGGAGGGCAGATGCTTTAGAACTGTAATTTTCATTTGGTTTAGTTTAATTACATTTACATCCCACCTTTCCTGCAAGTTGTTCAGGGTGACATCTGTGAAACCTCCCTAAAGAGAGCATTCCACAAGCAGGGAGCCACTACAGAAAAGGCCCGTTCTCGTGTTGCCACCTTTCAGGCCTCTTATGGAGTGGGCACATAAAGAAGGGCCTTAGGTGATTAACACAGGGTGCAGGTTAGTTCCTTTGGAGAGAGGCGGTCCTTGAGGTCCTGAGCTGTTTAAGTGGTCAAAGCCAGAAACTAACGAGCAGCCAGTGCAGTTGGGCCAGGATCAGTGCAGTATGCTCAAACTGTCTTGTCCCAGGGAGCACCCTGGCTGCTGAATTCTGCACCAGCTGAAGTTTCCACTGTATTGATGTAAAAATGTTCTTTGTTTTGTGTCCATCATATAAGCTGTTTGGTTTTTTTGTTTTATATCTTTTTAGAACCTATTTGAATGAGTCTGAAGAGAGCAAGACCCAAGCCTCTAAGGCCAGCAGGGTGCATAATGAATTCATTGCACACCTTTGTCATTTCTTTGACATGAGCATAATAGAGAAAGAAGAGCCACAGGAAATGCTGCTCTCAAAGGTTTATGTTTTATATAATAATTTGAGACATAGCTACATTTGTATGTATATCACACCAGACCCAGAGTTCCTATTTTTTACCATGTCATGTGCAGATGATTGAAGAGCCTAATGAGAAAGTGTGACATACATAGTGTTGTAGGGGTTTTGAGGAGGAGAAAGTCTGAAACCACAAATATTCAACAATGGATGTGCCAGAGCAGGAAAGCATAATTTGCAAGAAAGGACATGGTTCTGAAAAAAATGCAGGCATGGATCCAGATTCATATTGGAAGGTCAAGCTCATTTCCTTATCCAGGGCCACAGGTCCAGTTCAGAAACTCCCTTAGAGAATCCCAGTCCTGTTTCAAGAGCCCAGTATTAGGTCCAGGCATTCAAAACGGGCAGATTGCTGAAAGGGATATCTGGGAAGGGAGATGCAATCCTTAATGACAATAGCAACCCCTCCTTCCTGCCCACGTTGAGGTTGAGGTTACATCTGGAAAACTAGTGGACACATCAAGAAGAGCTTCTCAATTGTTCCCCTCCATCTACCCATGTTTTACATGCCAGGTTCGCATGTTCTTCTCATATCAAATCACAAATAGCTGCTGTTTTACCTTTTAACTGATCTGACATTTAAAAGCAGCATCTCTGTGATTTGTGGGACCACAGAGTGTTATTGAAACTGAGTGATTGACCAGAAGAACCAGCTGCGTTTTCCCCTTACCTGGTGTGTCCACCTTCTGCCACCATTCTACTAAAAAAGGTAATGGTACCCCTGCCCGTACGGGCCAGTCTTGACAGACTCTAGGGTTGTGCGCTCATCTCACTCTAGAGGCCGGGAGCCAGCACTGTCCGCAGACACTTCCGGGTCACGTGGCCAGCGTGACGAAGCTGCTCTGGCGAGCCAGAGCAGCACACGGAAACGCCGTTTACCTTCCCGCTAGTAAGCGGTCCCTATTTATCTACTTGCACCCGGGGGTGCTTTCGAACTGCTAGGTTGGCAGCCGCTGGGACCGAGCAACGGGAGCGCACCCCGCCGCGGGGATTCGAACCGCCGACCATGCGATCGGCAAGTCCTAGGCGCTGAGGTTTTACCCACAGCGCCACCCGCGTCCCCCTACTACATTCTACTACATACCCCTTATTACCTTAATTACCTTATTACCTTCATGATAGCTCTTCCTTTTCCCAGGCATTCAGAAGGAGCCCACTATAGCCTGCTAAGCACATTTCCAAGGTAATATAATTCTGATAGCCAAATGGACCCAAACAATCCTGTCCCCCTGAAACAAGCCAGTGGTAAAGGTATTCCAGTGGTTAATATGTATGGTAATAATGAAAGCAGCAAAAGACCTAAGGCTGGAGCAATGCCGTAGAGCACAATCTAGCATTTTATAGGTGGTTGGCCCTAAGCAAGCTCCTTGCAATGTTTCTTGACATAAGACAGGTTCTTCCATATTCACCACCACCACACATTTAACCTTGCTTTACATGCCCAAGAGGTAGAGAAACTGTCAACCTTGAAAAGGGATGTAATTATGGTAGTAAACCCAGCGAGTGGATATAGCATACCTGATCAAAGCAATGCTTCATACTTATCCAGAAATGGTTATTCTTTAGGATGTGTGAGATGTGGCCCAGTAATGTGTAAATATCTATGTTGTGAGACCCACGGAATAGCAATAGCACAGAGCTGTAAGGTTGTTTAGGACTTTAGGTTATGGCAGAAAGCATTTGTATTACTTGAAAGAGTTTAACTGTGATTGGATCATGGCTTTAGTTTAAAAGAAAATAATTATAATTTGATAAGCAAGAGTATTTAAATGTGCATAAACCAGGGAGGGGGAGGGAAGAGTGTTAAATAACCACTTTTAACTAGCTTCCATGCTTCCAGATCAGTGACATGCACGAAGAAAATAAAGTACTAAAAAGACAGATTGCCACACTCCAGGAGACCACGAGTGTTCATGACATGGAGTCAAAAGCAAATAGAGAAACCATCATGAGGCTCGTCTCAGAACTGAGCAAAGAACAGAGGCAGGCAGCATCCTGCTGTCAAGACATGGAAAAGTTAAGTAATGTAAGTCTTTTTCATTTTTCTGTTGTGGGGCATCGAGTCTTTATGCAAAGGCTTACAGTACTTTGAAGAGAGGTAGGTGGTCGCTTGTCACAAGTTTGGGGATGGAGAGAGAAGTATATGTGACAAAATGTTTTCTTAGAATCAGACTAGACAAGTGCAAGCATTATTAATAGACAAATTGCCATATAGGGCTTTAACCTTTTGCACTTCACAATGGTCCCTATCTGAACTTGGAGCCCCATGCCTGATTTCCATGTGGGGAGAAAAAGTCTCATTGATGTGAATGGGAGTTTTTTCCTTAGGAAAGTTGGAATCCTAGAGGGGCTTTAACTCTTTAACCCTTGTTCTTGATCCAAATTCAGATCAGGAACATAGCAGGAGAAAATGAGTTGAAGCTTCCCTACTCTCCATACTTGGGTTTCAATCCAGATCAGACCCCGTCACACTGTCCATTTGTTTTTAAAAACTTTGTACTTAAGAACACAGACATTTCTTTGTTTTGCCATATACCAACTGCAGGTGTCCCTGATTCTTTGCAGCTTCCGTCTTACAGTGAAAGAGCTGCCAGATGACATTTAAAAATTGATAAGTTTCTAAATTCTCCTGCTACACAAGCAACTGTAATCAGGGGCAGCTGTTACACTGAAGTAAGCACACACACACAAACATATGCACAGGTTCCAGATGGGAATCATTTTCCTGCCTCTGGTCTCCATCTCTGTATGGGTCATTGCGAACTGGGGTACCTCGTTTTGATTTTTTTGATTCAGATACAAAAACCCCAAACTGGTTGACTGCAGCTACAAAGGACAGCTGTAGCAACTGGATTTTAATCCAGAAGCCATTCAAGCAACCGGTCATGTAATGGTAATAAGGTAAGCAAATGTGGTTGTCCGCACAAAGTTGTAGTGGTTCTCGGTGCAGGAAGAGTTCAAGAGTTACTGAAACAGATGTTCAGGCAAGCATTAGATATGAGAAGGTGAGCAAAGAGAAAAGATCATGAGTCACTCAGCTGATCTGGCTTAAATTAAAGGCTGATTTATCTAATAGATCTTAAATGGGTAAATGCTTTTAAAATGCATCATTAAATGAGTTAATGCTTTTTTAAAAGGAACAATAAACATGTCACATGAATCTTGTTGAAAACACTTCAGGAGTACATCAAAATATAACGTTAAACTTATGTTTTGTCTGAAAACTTTAATGGTAAACAATGGAACTCAGTCACGTTTAACTTGCATAACAACAAGACCTTTGTGGGATATTGGCTTTCCAGAAAACATAGATTCTGTCAAAAGACACGGCCCGCATCAGATCACATCTCAGCTGAACTCAATACAGTCCTGAAACTTCTATACTGTTGGTGATAGTACTTAGAGGAACAAATATGTTCTTTATTAAGGGATGTGGTCAGTCATACAACTTATGAAATCATGGAACACATTTGATAAATGATTTGGATTGAAGTAAACACTGCTTTCGGGGTTAGTGGTCATGGAACTTCCCAGATCTCTTGTACAGTTATGTCACTCAATTCTAGCCCTTTAAAAATGTTCAGCATAGATGTCACACATGTTTACAGGAACTGTGGTGCACTTAGGAATTGTTGTAAAGGAAGGAATATGGCCCTTTGGAAAGTCTGTTTTGTAAGCATAGACTACCTGCCAAAACCACAATGGAGAATACGGCAGTGACTTATATGCCAAATATTAACATTTCGTTTTATTTCATGAGATACTGGAAACATGGTCAGATCTTAATATATCAGTTGTTTTGAACACTTGCATTCAAGCCACTCACCTATAAGATCCCACCCTTCATCATACGTGATTTTGGGGCAGGTAAGAACAATTAAAAAACTATTTAAAAATAAGAAAACCATTAAAACAGTCAAGACAGCAACAATGACTTTTTAAAGAATTGAAACTGGGTGAAACTTGATAATGGAACTTGATTCAACATATCTTCTTCCATCTTCAACTGATATTTTCTTGCCTTCATCATGATAAAGGCTAATTGGTGTGTGTGAAACACTGTGCAGTATAGATTTAAATAAAGGAGAACCCACTCCCCTTTATCTGGTTTTGTATAATGTCATTGCAAATTTTGGTCTCTTTTTAAAAATACAAGATCATTGTAACAGCTTTGACGAGATGAAGTGTCATGGGAAGAACCTGAAACAAGAATAATAATTTAGGAACAATTTTCATTTGGACAGATGGTAGATAGCTGCCATTTAGACCATTGCCAATGTCACTTTTTCTTTGTTTAAATAAGGGACAAAAATTCAAGTTATAAAAAATAATAATTCTGTTTCCTTGGGATTTTTTACCCCAGAGTATCTGAAAACTTTGTCAAAAAGGAACTTGAAGTAATTTATAAATCTTCAGTTGCTCCTTGGGACATATATTTTTTAAAAAAATTTTTTTTATACAGAGACCTGTTCCAACCTCAAAGGCGGTACTATCACTCCCCGCTTCCCTTTTACATTGTATTGAATTAATATCTAGTTTCTCTAAAAGCATTTCCAAGGGTCAGTTCACATAACTCTATGGAATCTTCCATAGAAGAGTGTCATAGAAATTTTTATAATAAATAAATACTGCTTGCAAATGTGCTTGTACAAACACTAATTTGCCATTTCACTTCCGGTTTAATAGCAAGCCATAGTTTGGCATTCCATCCAAGCCAAGCAACCTATGCTTCATGTAAATCACAGTTCACCCACAAAGTAGGATCGTAAATCATAGTTTGAACTGAGTTTTTATTCCTGATATTTGACAAACTATAGGTTTATAGTATTCAAATGGGCCATTGCACGAACGAAAAGAGACATGATTTGCAGTAACAATAGTTTTCTAGTTTGGAAGTAAAGTCAAGAAGGACCAGAGTGTTTCTGCTCTTTCAGGTTCACTGTTAAGCTACTGGATCCTGTGAGCTGTGTACTGTGTGTTTACTGTGCTAAATGCACTTAACTGTGGATAATTAATTCACGTCACAAGCAGAAAAGCTGTGCCACAAACAAATGAACATATTGCTTGTTAGGCAAAGGCTGCTGTCTGAGTTATAATTAATAACTGGTGCTACAAAAATAGTTAACTGAAGTTTGAAATTAGTAAAAGAAAACTTACTCCTTAGCACTGGATAGGCTAGGATTAGAAGGCTGTTCTGAAGTAGGAGATCACATTCTAACTTGAAAGTGTGGGTCACTTTTTGAGAATTGGTGAATTTTGCTGTAAGGTGCTTTCCTGTAAAGTAGCATGTATACTTTCTTGCCAGTATGTATATCACTGCATGCAGTAAACATGGATGCTAGGATATCTCCGCTTTCCTTGCCTTTTTGAGCATTATGGATATTAGCTCTGAAAACCTATGCTTAGGTTTTCAGAGCTAATATCCATAATGCTCAAAAACCATAAGGTTGTATCCAGCAGAAAATAGAAGGAATTCATCAGCAGAACAGGGGCGGGAGGCAATTTTTGGCAAATTGTTGTTTCCTCTGAAGCCCCCTGTGCCTCCCCTACATCTGCTAGGGGCACAGGGGTCTGTAGAGAGGAGGGAATAACTGAAAAATTCCTCTTTGCCTGATTGCACTGACACATTCTGCAGTGGATGGAAGCCGTTGGACCCTACCCACAAAATGCAGAAGGGACTCTGGGTTCCCCATTTTGATTCTTTCTCCTGGAATGGATGTCTGCCTCTCTAGTCTCCCTGAAAACCACAAAATGCCACAGCTTTCTGTTAACTTTCTTCTATAGTTGGGAAACGTTTCCTAATTGTTTGATCTAAATCAGTTTTCCTGTCATTGCTTTTGCTTGTCGTCCCCTCTTAAACCTCCCCACCTCCGTGGTTCTGAGAAACAGTTTTTTGTTGCTTCCTTTCTTGCATCTTTTACAAAATGCTTGATAATCTTGCTTTTCTCTAGGATAGACACACCAAGCTCCTTCAGTCCTTCCTCAGATGATGTTTCTTTCAGGCTTCTTATCAGCCGTTCTTCTCTTTGAATTCTTTCCTCTCTGGTACACTCTTTGAATTACAGTGCCAAGAACTGTCTGCAGTTCTTCATCAAAGAATGAAACAAATGTAATCTGGAATGTTTGTTTCTCTCTCATTAAATGCAGGGTGGCTGCTTGTAATCATTTTGTTTTTCTTTAGAGATTTCAAATTAAGCTGTATCCCAACCAATATCATTGCAATTTGACCTTAATTTTGTCCTTCATTGCCCCAATACGAAAGAGTGCACCACAGATTCTAACTTTCTTTTCTGTATGAGCTTTAGAAATAGGAAAAAGTCTCTGTGCCCCACATGCACCAACATGTGTGAGGGACGTGGCTGCTTTCTGGGCCTTGCATATGAATAGCAACATACGTTTTCTGTTACTCACAGGAGTGGTTGGAAGAATCTGTCCATTTGTTTCTCTTTGTTTCTAAACGATGTTGTGCTGCACCTGCGATGAGGAAAGAGTGCATTTGTTGAAATAATATTGCAATCTGAAATTGTTTCCTCAATTTTCTGTAATATCAGTAATTTAATTCTTGGCGCTGGATTAGATTCCTCCCCACCAAGATCTTTTAAGAAAAGTAGCAGGAAAATTAAATTAAATGGAAGGATGCCAAAATATACAAAGGCAGATTTTGTTGAATGTGACGTCTCCAATTAGAGTAGGTTTGAGTGGTGACAAGTATGCACTTAACACTTCTCATTCTTCTTATAAAGAATCTATTCTTAGAGTTGGGATAATTAGGGAAATAAACTTGACCCTTCAAATCTAGCATTCCACTTCCCATTTGGCATCCAGAACCAGATAAGTCATAAAAAAACAGAACAACCTTTCAACATGCACTCAGCTGGTTGCCTAATTCTTGCATTTTGCATAGAATAAAAGTATTTCCTATTCCCAGTTGTTAATCAGAAGGTGCATTAAACTTGTAGGATTAATAGCCATTGCTGTTTTTATAGATTGCGTCTAATTTAAACAGTTTGTTTCTGTGTCCACAAGCATCTAATGCTTTTATTGCCAAACTCCCACAGCGTTTCATTAAATATCACCAAAATTTTGCTTTGCCAGTATTTTTTCTCTGAGGCAGTGAGTTTTGGAAGCACATTGTATGAATGAGAACCAAGCACTTTGTGTGTGTGCGTGCGCAGGCGCTTGCTTAAATTTTAGACTCTCTACTCCAACAGTGCCTCTCCAAAGCATCGTCTGTGCACAGAAGGACATTCTGAGCTGATATGGAGTTTGTGATAGGGCAGAGAATCCTCATAAGTATGTAAGAATCTTAAAGGTATTAAAAGTAGGTGTCATCTAGTGATTTATAGGTGGGACTACATCATTTTATGAAATATATAAATATTTTCTCATTATTATTATTATTATTATTATTATGTAATCTAGACTTCTATGAATGGCATAGAGTAGGACAAGCAAGCCCAGGTCCGCATCCCCAAATATTCCCTTCTCCTAGCTTGTGCTGTGCTTTATTGTCTTATCATGGATGTTCAAAGGGGAAAGTATGGTGAGCGGTGGACATGGCCCCTAAACTTCATGTTGATTACCCTGAATGCAGAATCTGCAAACCTTGTGCATTAATATAGAAAAGGGAAATTGGGGCTACAATATGATTGCTGTGGCTTTTATTTAGGATCTGAGCAGCACCACGGCAGCTAAGCAGAACCTCGAGAGGGAGATCAGAACCCTCCAAGAGAGACTGGCTGCAAGTCAAAGGGCTTGGGAAGTCTTGCAGGAGGAAATGAGCCACCTAAAGAAACGTTGCCATGAGAAAGAAGAGAACCTGAAAGCAAGCATGGAAGAGGTCAGGGCTGAAAAGCGTCTGCACGATGCATTTAAAGAGCAAATCATCACCCTGCTTGGAAGCAGCTGCATTATAGCCAGTCGATCTGAGGAGGACATTGTAGAAAAAATTCGAGAAATGGTCCGCAAGGAGGAGAGCAAAAAAACAGTATGTGGATGTCTATTGTGACTGCTTGAGAAGCTTGATTTTCTGCAGCTTATTTTCTGTGTGAATTGAAACCTTGCACATGTTGGCTGCCTTGTTCTGCATAGAACCTTTGCAAAACAACAAGAAACAAACAAATCTAAGCCTTTCAGCTTTGGAGTTTAAGCACCACAGCATCTGCCTCATCATCCCGGAAAGTAAGCACGGGTACTTTGCAGACAATCCCAGAGCCCCATAGCAGAAACATGTCCAATTAAATCAAAGCTGATCCAATCCTTTCCCTGACCACAGGTCCACAGAGAATGCATTTTTTGGCAGTAGTGCTGCTGCCCTAAACATTTCAATTTGGCCAGCCTGAGCATATTTGGCCAGCCTGGGTGTATGGCGCAGAGCCTACTTTCCCTGACAATAGAGAGCCTTCCTCTTTTCCATTGCAGGGGAAGTGATCTAAATACGAACAATCTAACTAGGGAGAGGCATAGCTGCAAACAGGCACTCATAGTAGTGGCATGGATGGAGGTTGCCTTCAAAAATAGTAGTAGTAGAATGAAGAAAAGTCCTCTGGTGGAAAACAATCTATGCACATAAAATTATTTATGCCCTGTGGCTTTCTGTTGCATGAGAATTTTGATATGTAAACTCATGATGAAAGTATGTGCATGCATGAATTACAGCATTAGATGTTCAGAGCTTTGCCAGATCACAAGGCTTTTGCAGAATATATGAACCCTGTCAGATTTCAAGTTGCAACAGCATATCCCACCACAATACTCAATCATTCTCTTTTTTCATCATTATCTTTTTGTATGGTCTCTTAAATTCCCGTTCATTACTGATAAGAATTGGTTCCATAACTGTTGACAAAACTTCCAGAGCCCACTCTTCCCTGTCTTTGAAGACTTCATGTGCGGCATTTTAAAATGAAACAGGCAAATTATGGGCAAAATTTTAAGTCTGTCAGGTGAGTTATTAGGAATAAAAATGATCAGTTTCACTTTTGGGAGGCCTGTCCATCTGTATATTGTGCAAGGCTGCTTTTCATTGTTAAAATTTCGCTGAACTGGAACTCAGTGACTGAGCAGAACTGTGTATATTGATGGTATAATTTCCTTTCCTTTCAATTTATTGCTAGTGGGAGATCTCAGAGTGAAATCACAAATCAAGTAATAACAGCAATATTGAATTTTATCAATTTTTGCTCCTCCTGTGACTTATTTTTTAATTTATTATGGGTCTCCATATTAATTAATCTTTATAGCTGTCACAGCAGAATCCTACTCAGAAGTAAATCCCATTGATTTCAGCCTTGCACTGCAGTGTATACCCACTTACTTGAGAGAAAGAGTCACTGAAATTAATGAAACTTACATCTGAGTAGTATATCATGTGGTGCAGCACCCAAAGTGAATATTTGCTTATTGTAAGACTTTCAGAGTGGTTTCCAGTTGAAAATGCATTGAGTTAAAATAACAGTATCAGCACTAGTTGTGACTGGTGTTTTATTCAGTTAATCCAGGAAACAATTTAGCTTCCATGTTTTTGCACTAAGGGTGGAGAAGCTTTTCGACTCTTCAGGGGTGCTGTATATTGGGATATCTGTTGGACACTGCATGTCCACAGTGGCCAGGAGACAAAAATTGGTGTCGTCCACATCTACCGCACCCCTAATACATGCACACACATCCATCAATTCATTCTCTCTCTCTCTCTGTGGCTTGAAAACCACTTCTATTGACACTGCAGAGGGAGGTGCAAGCTGTATGGGGAGGCCCTGCAAGCCACACCCTTGCTTTACACTAACTGAAGTTTCTGAGTAGCCTTATACATTGTGTTAGACTTAGGCGGAGGTTACCACTGCATAGCTATCTATGGCCAAGAAAAGCGCCAGTGGCAAGTTGATTGTGAAAAGCACCAGTGGGGAGTTCACTGAGGAATCTGGCAAATTAGCTGAAGTACCAAGGTGTATTGAAGGTTGGCTGGCTTGAACAGGCTGCTCCATCGTACCCCTCTACCTCCACCTGCCATCATTGTGTGACTGGTGGGCCTTAGTACTTTCAACTGTCTCAAGTGGGTCCTGGGGCTAGAAAGTTCGAGAATCCCTTATATTTTAAATTGGAAAATGAGCAGGTGAATGAACCCCTTGAGGCAGGAGCGATGATGATTGGAGTAGAGCATGTTACTCTTCCAGTGGTGGTGCTATTCCTACTCCATGTCTTGGAGGCTGCTGGTGAGGTGGGGATAACTCTCTATGTAGTAATAGCTTATAAATGTTACCCTTGAGTGGAAAGATCTTTTAGAATTTCAGTGATATCCTCATGGCAAGAATAGCTTTGATAAAAGAGATAAAACTTTGGGACTTGTGGTAGCAGGTGGCTGGGAAGTTAGAGCACCCTTTTGTTTGGAATGGAGATGAGATTGTGGGGTTTGGTTTTCCAGAAGGATTCTGAGCCATGGCTCATGAAATGCTGTACAAGTGGGCTTGGCAGAAACATTTGGGGCTACCACAGAAAGTAGGGTGCATACTTGTCCATATAGAAATGGCCACTCTCAGTGAAAGCAAAGATGGAAAAGTACTGAGTGGATTTACTGAAGAAAAGTTAGCCTTAGACAAGCACATAGTACAGATTTGCCCTGCTTACACGGCCCCAGAATGATGTCTGTCAATAAGGAAGAGTGCACTTCAGCCTCTGGAGAGTTCCTATTTGAAGGTCAGGAACTGAGATAACAGTGTCAGAAAAGACTTGAGCATACTCCAAACTTGTTTTTCCAAGGGAAGTGCTATCAGGTTTTTTGGCTGGAGTGCAGATACACTTATACTTGATCGATCATCTGCTGGCCTCTTCAAAAAAAAAGAAAAAAGAAAAAGAGTGTAAAATCAAATCTAGCATGTAGTGTTTAGGTGCAAGGCTCAAACAATATATATTTTTAAACCCACAGAAATTCTAGGGTTTGCTGTTAAATAAGTTATATAATATTTTTGCCTATATTCCAACAACTCATTGAGACAGGTGAGGTGGTAGAAGTGAGGCTTTGAGGCCCACATTTTAAAATAGCTAGTGTAGGATGGTGGTAAAGTCATCTAGCATGTGGAAGCTTTGGAAATTTGTGGTCCTATATTTTTGAGAAGGTTAAAATGATATAATAATCTTCTTGTGGTATCTCATAATGCCTGCACCCTGGGCGGGTTGTATTATTGTGCTGGAAGTAGAGAACAAATAACACCCCACTGCTGCTGTCACTTTGTTTAGATGAGCCTCAAAGCTTCGATTCTTTCATCATTCCTCACCAAAAAAATTCAATAACCAAATCCATTTTCCTACATTAGGCTACAGTCAGAGAGCCAATGGGAAGCTGCAAGGATCTTACCCTGCCTGATCTCTGGCCTTCACTAAGTCTCACAGGAAGCTGGCATATGACTTTTTTCCTACTGTCCTGTTGACCAAAACTAAAAAGTTGCAGCATTAATTTTTAATTGCTTTGACTAAATTTGCTAAAAGACTTTTGTCATTTACTTTGTGCCCTTGTTTAGGCTGTTATTTGAAGGAGATTCCTCCATTGCCCTATCTCTTTACATAATGGCCCTAAAGAGGGAGGGGGACGACCCACATTCCCTGGTTGGGTGGTGGATTGCCAGGTTTTTCCATCTTTCCATTAGGAACAGCTGGCTTGGTTTGTGCCTTATTATTGCTTGGCTTGATGTTTTCAATTGTGCGGCTCACTTGTTTGCATCTCTTTGTTGCTGTTTGCGTTTCATAGCATTTATATACAACCTTTACCCTGTGTGCCTCAGTCTCGGGTAACACAACTCGTTTGTATTTGAAATGTTGCAATCTTTAAGTGCTGAAGCGGGCAGTGGAAAAGTTGTGCACATAAATGCTTGCAAAATCAGGCCAGCTTGCAAACACGAGGTTTACATCTGCTAATCAGGAACACAATTTAACAATATTTTGAGAATGGAGCTAAAACTGTACAAATAAATACCTAAGCCACTACAGAGAAGTACAATTAAATTTAAAGCATCTTATTAATGTGGTGAGTGGAATCTAATACTCTTAATTATAAGAGTCTAATGGAAGATTTGTAAAGTTAACAGTTAAAACACATTTTAATCATTTATACAGGCTTGCATAATAGGGTTTAGTCTGTATTTTTGGCTTTGGCTACCCTGGTTTTAGGTTTTTGTTTTAAGTCGGCGTAAAATGCATGTCTTAAAAGCATTCCTGTTTTAATGTCAAATATGTTTTAAAAATATATTAAGTAGTTCATTCCAAAAGTCAATCTATTGCTTGCCTCATGCCTCAGCTGCTTTCAAGTTCTACAATTTAATAGATCCCACCCTTGTTCCTGGGTATTTTGCCAGAGCATGGTCTTACTGGCTTCTCACACCACAGCCTGTCATATTTTATTGGTATGTGGTCTATCTGTCCAACTTGAAACCTAGTTCATTGTCCAGCTTGCCTGCCACAAACTGTGGTCCAAAGCCTGTTACTCTTCTATCTGTCTCTCATCCCCCATCCCACCCAGCCTTTTGTTTCTGAGAAGGACTTCTGACTTGGAGAAGTCCATGTAGACAGCTCCCCATTAGTTAAGTTTTGTACGTTCTTGGCACACTGAATCAGCCTGGCACAATCTATAACAGACTTCCTCAAAATCGGCCCTCCAGATGTTTTGAGACTACAATTCCCATCCCTGACCACTGGGCCTGCTAGCTAGGGATCATGGGAGTTGTAGGCCAAAAACATCTGGAGGGCCAAGTCTGAGGAAGCCTGATCTATAAGCCTCACATGGACTGCAAATTCCAGTGATGGTTCAGTGATGGTTGACTGGTAATATAAGATGTCATCTACCTGTATTACAATCAAGTAATCAAATACATAATTAAGAGCTGGTTGGCAAACAATCTCAGGCTTGAAATAGTTATTTGTTATTTATTCAAATACAGTGTTAAAATGCTAGTTGTCATATGCTTATTTGTTGTGTAATCTATTTCTGAAAGTTTGGCAATGCCTCTCTTGCACCACAGTTTAGTTTCAAGCTCAGCCTCTGACTTTAGTTTGCTTTCTCCTCCTGCCCCCCTTAGATGGTATCCCAGCTTGAAAGCCAAATAGCTAAACTGACTGAGGCACTGGAGACTCAGGCTGTATCACACCAGGAAGTTTTGCAGAGGACCAGAAAAGCAGAAAACAAATCTGAGACACTTCACGATCAATTGATGTGTCTGGAAGCGGAGCTGGTATCTGGGGACGTGATACGAGATGCTTTGAAGCTCGAGAAACAAAAAGTAATAGCTTCTATTCATAGTATGTGCACAAGGGTAGCTAGAGAGAGAGCCCCAAATGCAACAGAATTCATGTTCCAATATGCTGGTTCGATCATATTATTATAAACATCTTCTGATGAATGAGTAATTCTTTCAGTAAGCTTGACCATTTCCAGTCATCAGAATAACTCATGTAACTGACCACTGCTGCTCAAGGTTCTTCAACTGTATTATACTGTAGTTGCAGAGTACTGCCAGGAACCCCAAAGGATAACTTTTACATTTGCCCAGAGAAAAAGGAGTTAGTTTTGAGTTTCAAAGCTAGCTGAGAAAAGTGGCTGACGTTTCATGGGGTGCTTGGGAGTTTAGATTAGCACTGCTTGCTGCATGACTGTTTCCGTACCTACAACCTGCAATATCCTAGTAATGTAAAAGTTGTACACATTACTAAACCAAGAATCTTAAGGAGTTGGGCCTCTAAATTAGGGATGGGGAACCTGTGGCCCTCCAGGTGTTGCTGGACCACAACGTTCACCATCCCTCACCGCTGGTGATGCTGGCTGTGGAGCATCTGGAGAGGTTCCCCATTCCTACTCTAAAGGAAACTGACTATGTAAAGCTCTCCAGGAACTGCCCAGAAATTGGGAAATGGGAAAATGAAACAATATATTTAATATGAGATTGAAGAGTTACTGACAAACTACCTAAGCTAATTTTAGGAGCAAAGCTTGAAAAGAAATCCAGTGCATTTCTTAGGATCTGCAAGATGATGCAGTTTCCCATCTTGGTTAATTTGGCTCCAGAGATGTAGTCATAGTAGTCTGTTACAGCAAATACACAAAAGAGCTTTGTAGCGCCTTAAAAGACTTACATTTATTTGGAGGGGGGTTGCTTTTGGTACACACCAATGACCAGCATTATTCTGAACAGCCCTTGTTGTTTGCTTTCTGATTTGCACACATTAAAAATGTGCTATATACATGATTGGTGTGATAGCATAAATGGGAATAACGGGAAAATAAATTCAACTTCTGTGTTTAATAATTCTGATACGGTAGCTTAATCTAATATGTATCCCTGCAAGCTGTTCTTTCTTTCCTTTTCTTTTTCTTTGCAGAACTGATCTTTCCTGCACATATTGCCTCTTAGCTAATTTGCTTTATAGGTCATGTTATGCAGCCTCCTTCCAGCTAACCTTGGCCCCAGTTTCAAAACCACCTACTGTGAGAAACACATATTTAGGACATGTTGCTTTTTAAATGACTTTCCTGGTGTTGAGAGAGAACTGTCTGCAGGAGGTCATTTTCTCATATGAATCGGGAGTGACAGCTTGGTCAAAATCCAACATTTTTTTCCACCTGCTAGATGATTCTGTGACTGTGGCTCTGGGAGGGAATGGGTCATTCAACAGGATGTTTGCTGAAGTAATATGACCCTGGTGTCTGAGTGTTTGGGGGAAGGCATGCTGATAAAAATCAATATGGAATTCAGGGGAAGTTAGTGCTAGATCATCCGGCACACTTATTAAAGAAAAGTGGCTATGTTTATGTGACTGCTAACTAGCTTAAAATGCCAATTATGGCAAGTCCAATGAAATGTAAGAAACATTATTGAACCTACCCTGTGGTGTGAAGATGGGAAAGAAGCAGTTTTTCTTCACCACCATTGCATGTCCATGATGTCATCCAGCATAGCCTATCTGAGTGGTTCAGGGCCTTTTGCTGCCTGGCCCAGTGGGAAGATATGGAAGAACTGTAGCTCAGTGGCACGACATCTGCTTTCCATGCAGAAGGTCCCTGGTTCAATGCCGAACATCTCCAAATAGGACTGGGAACATCCCCCAGGTGAAACCCTGGAGAACTGCTGCCAGCTCAGAACTGCTGAGCTAGATAGACCAATAGTCTGTCTTGATATAAAGTCTTCCTATACCCAAGCAGACCCTGTTTTGTGCACACGAACCTTGCCTGAATTCCACCAGTTATGTTTAGAAATAATTACATTATCAAAGCACCTACTAGGGAAAAAGAAAGCACTTTTCCTTTTTGAATGTACTTTTGCTCCCTCTTTTCATTTATTTCTGCATTTCTTCCCACTCTCTGAAGTATCTTAAATTTCTGGATCAACTTTCTGAAAAGATGAATCTTGACAGAATGGCAGCGGATATTGGATTTGATATGAGGTTGGATGCAGTATTGGCTCGTGCAGACCAATTGATCAAACTGGAAGGAGACACGTTAACTGAGAATAAGATCCTGGCTCGCAATCTACAAAGAAAGGTAGGGAAAGTGGAGCAAGATTTGAGAATACCACCTTTCAAAACATAATAAAGTGCAGTGCCTGATTATTTAGACCCGCATGGGGTAGTCACTCTAGCAGTTAGTGTCAGATCAGTATCAGAGAGATTTGTTGTGAGTATAAAAATGGGGGAGAGTGGCAACCATGTATGCTGCCTTGAGCTTTTTGGCAAAATCCTCCCCATCACTTTTGACAGACCTTTGAGCAGAAGCAAAAGAGAGAAATTTGGGATAGGAGGTTACAGTTCTTAGAGATTCCGGGGTAGTGGGAACATCATTACTAGGACCATGTTTGAGAAAAAATATGGTTTCCTCTATGAGTAGTCTATGGGGTCAGTCATCTCTTTTGTAGTGTCCAGGTAAGAATTCTTCATCACTACATAGTGTCATTCCCAATTGCTTTAGTGGCCCCATTTCTCAACCATACAACAGCCATTCTGTTGAGTGATTTGCTGCCTAAATGCAGCTTAGTTTTAAAAGCAATCTCCGCCTCCCGAGAAGAACAGAAAGACGCAAACCCTCAGACAACATCCTAAAACAGTAACACATTCCACTCAGTCACCCAAATCTCCACTGCCCCCAAGTCAGTGTCCACCTCCTGATCTGCCCTTCAAAGATCCCACTAACATTTGCAAAAAATGTTAACATTCATGTTTTCTGCGGGCGGCAAATAAATAAATATTCACCATTACATTTCACGGTGAAGTGTGATTTTATGGCGTGTGTATGTGTGTTCACTGCTTTTTAACTTTTCAATGTAGTTGAGAACTCAGAAAGAGCAGCTTGACAGCAAAGAGCTACACATGAAACTTTTGCGTCAGAAGATAGCACAGCTAGAAGAAGAGAAGCAAGTGCGCACAGCCCTGGCTGTGGAAAGAGATGATGCCAACCTGATGGTCAGAAAACTACAAAAAAAGGTGGACAGATTACAGAATGAACTTGCCTTAGCAAGAGAAACAAATACAGACCTGAAAGCTAAACTGGCTGACACCAACGAACTGAAGGTGGGGGAATATGATACCTATCTCTTTTAAGCCATGCTCAAAAGGTGTACAAATGCCAGTGGATAGTTTAAATTTTACATATGTCTATCCAAAACTGTTCAGCTCATGCTGAGTACTGGGCAAAATAGAGCAATTTAGAAATGCTGAGAAATGTGTGTTCTTCAGAATCTTGGACTTCTGCTTAATGTCTTAGTAGCTAATAACACAAGCCTATGCAAGTCTACTCAGCACCACTTGTTTCTGGGTAAATGTAGGCAAGGGCCTTGGCGGTAGAGCACACACCCTGTGTAAAAATTCCCCGGATTAATTGCTGGCTTCTGCCCCTCTCCAGATCTGATTACTCCAAAGCATGCATTTTCAGCCCCACATTAAGGGGAGTGGAGTTTAACTTTCCCTTCACACCATTTTCTAATCGAACCACCCCCATCCAGCCAAAGCTGCAATTTATTCCGGGGGGGGGGGGAGAGATACACAATGTCTTATTCAACAAGGCAAATAGCCATCTGGGGTAGCAGGATTTAGATCAATAAAACAGCGCGAGGGCATGCAGAAGGTTAACCACACCATCCTCTGCACCCCAGCAATCAAAACTGGCTGCTTTTACATAAAAAATGTAAACCTCAAGCGATCTCAGCAGGGATCTCTCACATCTTATGTAGTTTAGCTTTATACCCCCTTGCGCTAGATAGCCTACTGTTTACACCCCTCCTGAGGCAACTCTGGAATTTGTTCACAGATCAGGACACTGGAGCAGGACAGAACCATAGAAGATCTAAGCAAGTCCCAAGAGAAACTGGAAAAGATGAAGGCAAAGGCTGAGAAGCAGCTGACCTCTGTCAAATCAGAGTTGCATGATGTAGAGCGTGAAGCAAAGGAAGATAAAGAGAAGGCCAAAAGCAGACTGGAATCTGTTACCAGTGAACTGGGAACACTTAAATCTACTCTACAGGCAGTGATGAAAAGAGAGAAACAGGTATGTAACAATATGACTGATAAGCAGCTCTTGGCATTTAGCAACTTGGTATCTGAAGCAATTTCGGGTGTGTGCTTTAAATGTCATATTCCTTTTTGTTGGTGTGAGTTTAAAAAATACTCTTTAGTTTACAAAAAGTTAAACTCCATAAGTGAAAGAAGACTTCTTTTTTTACTAGTGTATTATTTATGCCATTTCAAGGTTGTTGTTGTTGTTTAGTTGTTTAGTCGTGTCCGACTCTTCGTGACCCCATGGTCAGGCACTCCTGTCTTCCACCGCCTCCCGCAGTTTGGTCAAACTCATGTTGGTAGCTTCGTGAACACTGTCCAACCACCTCGTCCTCTGTCATCCCCTTCTCCTTGTGCCCTCCATCTTTCCCAACATCAGGGTCTTTTCCTGGGAGGTAGCCAAAGTATTGGAGTCTCAGCTTCAGGATCTGTCCTTTCCAGTGAGCACTCAGGGCTGATTTCCTTAAGTATGGATAGGTTTGATCTTCTTGCAGTCCATGGGATTCTCAAGAGTCTCCTCCAGCACTATAATTCAAAAGCATCAATTCTTCAGCGATCAGCTCTCACTTCAATACATCACTACATTTCAAGGTAAAGGTAAAGGGACCCCTGACCGTTAGGTCCAGTTCAAGTCCATTAAGGTAGCCAGTGCCCAAAAGAATTTGCCAGTCCAACTCTTTTTACACGAATTCTCACACTCAAAAGCCCCCTGAGCTGTGGAGATCACAAATTTGTGGGGTGGATGCTGTATAATGTCTTAAAGGCTTCTGTATATAAAATACATAATTGCTATCCTACTTCCAAACTTCATTGAGTCAGTATATTGGTAATTATACTGATGGCACTGGCTACAAATATAAAAGCACTGACTACTCTTTAGGGGTTTACGTGTAAAAAGGATTTTTCAATAGACCTCTCAGGGGACTAGTTGGCAATTGGGCATCATAGTGATCAGTGTACTGGCTGTGTTGGTTCCATGTGAAACAAATAAGCATTCACTTCTTCCTGTTCTTAAGCCAGAGCTATTTATTTCTCCAGCTAATGTTGCTCTCTCACAATCATTCCACCTCAAATGGCCTCAGAGTAGATGTAAGCACCTCACCTTTCTTCCCTCCAAGATCTCCACAGCTTGTTGGACTACAGCTCCCTTCAGTCCTGACCATTGGCCACGTTGGGTGGGGCTGATGGGAGTTGGAGTCCAATGATAATTGAAGGGGTTCCAGGGTAGCCTCTTCTGTTTTGCTCTGAAGAAGCCTCTTCCCAGGGCCCACAAAATATTGGACAGACCTTCCTTACACCTTCATAGCCAGAGTGGCTTCTGCATTTTATACAAAAGCTTTGAGATTAAACTGCTCACACAGTATAGCACAGCACTCATAGAATAGAAGTGGTTGCCCTTTTCCATGAATAAAAGTAGTTGATTTATAGAAAGCACTTCATTTGATAATAGCACTGCTCTTGGGCAGATTTCTGACAGCTTGTCTTTATTCTCAAAACAAGGATAATGCAATCTGTTGCATCAAATGCCACCTATTCTAATAACACCAGATTAAAGAGCACAAACAATTGTAAGCATTTGGAAAAAGACCTTTTTGGACACAATGAACCACAAAGATCTGAATATATTTTGACATTGATTCAAGTCATGCAATGAAGTGTGTAATATTTAATGTGTGGTTGCAGTATAAAATAAACAGAACTTCAGATTCCTCCTCAACTGCTTTGACTAAAAGTTATTGAATTTTCAAGTTGGATATTTTGCCGAAGACAATCGCTTCCAGCTTTTTTCCTGGAACTGAGCAGGAAAGGAAACCTAAGCTGAATATTTATCCATCCTTCTTTCTTTCTGACTACTCAATACTTTTTGTGGAGGTGGTAAACCTTGAAGCTGGGTTTTATCATTTCAGATAAAATCCAAGGACTCATATAACTGACTGTTCTTTCGTACAAAAAAAAATAAAAAATCATTTCTGCACAGAAAGCTAGAGGTCAAGGATCTAGCCTTACTGAGTCATGCTAGATTTCCACATTAATTTTTTTTCCTGTGGAGATGTGCATTTCTGCTGAGGTGAGCTCTCCCACACTGGACATCTTCAGGCAGAGGCTAGACAGCCACCTGTTGGGTATACTCTAGTTCTGGGTTTCCTGCATCATTTAGGCACTTAGACTAGATGGGTTTTACAAGTCCCTCTCCAACTTTGTATTGTTTTATGTGAGTACCTACATGCATGAAGTGGCATAGACCAAGCCCATAAATTCAACATGTACAGTGGTACCTTGGGTTACATTTGCTTCAGGTTACAGACTCCGCTAACCCAGAAATAGTACCTCGGGTTAAGAACTTTGCTTCAGGATGAGAACAGAAATCGCGCAGCGGCAGCAGCGGGAGGCCCCATTAGCTAAAGTGGTACCTCAGGTTAAGAACAGTTTCAGGTTAAGAACGGACCTCCAGAATACATTAAGTTCTTAACCAGAGGTACCACTGTATGTGAAAGTCAGGTCAATAATGCCTCATTATAATTTATTATAATTTATAATCTTTATTCAGTATTATGTAACAAAGAAAGAGAGCCACTGCATCACACCCAACAGACAGACATGCATATACACCACCCATCCACACACACATGTCCCATCCAGAGAGAGAGAGAGAGAGAGACAGCAAAGGTAGGGCGAGGGTGGAAAGTCAAGGGCCATTGCTGTAGCCTCCAAGTCTGGCAAACCACATTGGACAGTGATACTCAAGTACATTGCTAAACGACCATCCGCTTGAAGCATCTTCCAATAAATACTCTCACCCAAAGGAGTACAACCACCAACAGAGAAAAGATTCCCCATCCTTGCAAAGAGTCCCTGCCAGATTTTAACACCCCACTTTGGTTTTTTTTAAAAGGACATGTAAAGCTTTTTAGTGACATTGAGTTCATTTCTTGGTGTGATTTTATAGTAGAAAGGCAATTATTTTCTGTTTCATAGTTTACATTCTATGCATTTTATAAATTATTGTAAGCTCTCTTTTTTATGACGATAATCATTGTTTTCATTAAAATTTCTATGGCTACCCATCTATAAAATTCTCTGCAAAAGTAAGCATTATACAACATTAGAAATGCAAAATATAATAACGAAAACAACCCCCCAACAAAAATGGCAATATAAAACCTTTCTCCTAGCACAGACAGAACAAAACAATTTGGAGCTCAGCATAAAGCCACAGGAAGAGAACAACTTCTTTATAGTAGCACTCTTGTTGCAGAGATATTGCATGTTCCCAGGATAGAATCATAGAATTATGCAGCTGGTTATTCCTGCCTAAGTGCAGAAGCTTATATTTGTCCCTGTTAAAATTGGTTTTGATAGTTTTGGCCCAGTTCTCCAATTTGTTAAGGTCATCTTGAATCCCAATTCTGTCTTCTGCAACTTTAGTTACCTTTCCAGCTTGGTGTCATGTGTAAATTTGATGAACCTCTGCTCAATTCCTTCACCCAAGGCATTTATAAAGACGTTGAACAACAATGGGCCTAGGATAGAACCCTGTGGCACTTTCTAGGATCTCCAGTACTGGCAACAAGTACTGGAGATGTAATGGTCAATGTGCAAATTGTATACACACACACTGTCCAGTAATTCAGACATGTTGGTTTACCATTCAAAATCATTATTTTAGAAAAGAATGGATATTTGTTATTAAATTACTCAAAAATATTGTTACTGAATTATCTACAAGATACAGTCCCAGAGTTAGACCTGGAAATAGATTTAAATCATTTTAAAAATGACCAAAGACAAAGTGTGGAAAGCATCATCATTTTTAGCTTGGCTTGAGAGGATTTGGAACATAATAATAGTAATCAATTTTACATGTTATATAAGAGAAAAAAGACAACAAACAACTAAATTTATAGAACTTTGTCCAGCACTTACCTATTACGTTTTGCAATTATAAGGCTGAGGACAATATATAATGCATAGAATTTATTTACATTCTTATAATTTTGTAATATGATCTTGGTTATATTCATTTGCGTTCATTTACATTTTCGTTATGCAATGTGTTATTTTTTGTTAGGATTAATATTGAAAACAAAAGCCTTTTCAGACAAACAAAGCAATAGCAATAGCAATAAAACAGCAGCATAAAACATTCAAACTTAAATTGGTATAAAACCCCAAGCATCTTAAAAGGGCAGCAAACAAGCAAAACCATCTTCCTCTGGCCCCAAAATAACAACAGACACCAGGAACACTCCCTGCATTCCTTGGCAGGGTGCCTCGCCCCAAAGGCTCTCTGCCTTCCCACCACCCACCTTAACATAAATGGCGTGAGAATTTAAGAAGATCTTCAGATGCTTATGGTATGGACAGATTGGTATGGGAGGAGGAGACATGAGATATAATTTAATCTCTCCCCCCCACTTTTGTTTTTACAGCTGGCGGACTTCAGAGAAGTCGTCTCCCGAATGCTGGGTCTCAATATTGCCACCATTGCTCTTCCTGACTATGAAATAATTACTCGTCTAGAGGGGCTGATCCATTCCCATCCACATCACTTTGTTCCCTGTGTCTGCTTCAAAGATATGTCGGTGAGGCAAGATGGATCATTGCAGCTTCTCCACTGAACACGTTCCCTTTGCAACAGTAATGAGGACTGAGTAGAATTCCTGTCCTGGTGGTCCTCTTCTCTTTGCTAGTATAAATGTTCCAGGATTTGACACTGAATGTTGGTGATAAAATTATAGAGGGCCTACAGTGAGAGTGCTTTTTAAAAAAATGTAAATGTCTGTAATACGTTTCAGAAGATCGACCAACACCCGTGAAGTTCAATAGCCATGAAGTATCTTAATAAACAGCATTCTGTTACAGCTGAACATCTTATGCACTGGATATCAAAAATGGAAAGAACATTATTACCGTTGTCATCCATTAGTGAGACCTTGCTCATGGATGCTGAGCCCAATTTTGAACAGTTCATCTGCCGCAGGTCACCCCACCACAGAGGGTCCCCTTATTTTAGGGGCCATAGAAGTTCCTTTCCACCAACCCTGTTCCATGAGTCCTTCTTGGGATCCAAGTTTATGTGTCAATGCACTTGTTTTGCAAAACGAAAGATAAGAGTATTCCACAAGTCATTAATGTTCTTTTTCCTGGGCACAATAATCAGTTCAGCACTTTCACACCAATTTGCATCCCAGTTTGCATTCTTTCCAGTCTTACTTTTTATAGCTGTTCTCCACTACAGTACTTTTGTTTTTTTCTACTGCCACATTACAACTGTCTTTAGTTAACAGATGAAGAACATCCTAAAAACTGTGCCAAAGATTTTAAATTTTTTTTTAAAGAGAGCTCTTCAACAGGATTTTTTATTCCCCTCTTACGTATCACTCATTTATATTTCTTATGACAGGTTACCAGTTTTAAAAATTGAGAGCAAATAGGAATAACATGACAGATTAGTTGCAGCTGTGGAATTCCTTGGACAAAAAATAGAACAAAAAACGATGAATCTAAGAGCTCCACCTCATTCAACTATTAATGCTTACAAGAAATTCTGCAAAAGAACACTCTGTTGCACTGTTCACAGATGGACAGATGTGAAGTTACAATCCCAGCCCCACTTTATGCAACCCCTGCTGCTTTCTGAAGCTGCCCAATTCTGCCTTCCTGTTAGAATTTCTCTCTTCCCATTTCTGCTTTCCCCTTTCTTACCCCTCCAGTTTGTGTGCATACAGTACAGTAAAGTCAGAAGGGAGTTGCTTTCACTTGCTTTCCAGAACAGCAGCTATATTGGTCTACAGTACTGAAAATGAATAAATCTGTACTTGACAATAACCCCATCATATCTAGTGGGACTTTTGTCTGAGTAGACCTGCATAAAATTTGGGAGTTAAAAATTTGAGGTAGTCATGGTTAAAATTGAAACGGGGCATTATTTGTTCTGGATTAGTTAATCTGGAACACTTTTCTGTCTGGCGCCACCCATAAATAGTTCTAGTTTTGCTACCACAGACAGATGATGCCAGGTTTTTTTTGTCCAGCTCTGTTACAGAACTTTGATGATGATGCTCCATATTCTTAAGATTTACCACCTCTTCCATAATGCATATAGTTGAAAAAGCAAAAAAGAAATAGAACAAATAGAACCATTTAAGTACTCTATAATGAATCTGTTTTGCATTAAGTAATACCTAATTAACACCATGTGGTTCTAATTTGTTTTCAGTAATTGACCTAGCAATTTTAAGTTTCGGTGCTACTTAGATGTTGGTGCAGCAGTTTAGACATTTACCAAGTCAGCTGTTCTATTATGGTTTCTTGGCGTTCATGTATTCAGATGTGACTGGCTGTGAAACTGGGAAAGAGAACAGAGGGGGATGCAGCTTTTTTGAGTCCTGGAGGACCTGTTTCCTGCTTTACAGGCCTTTCTCACCTGGCAGGTTCTGCTGCTGTTTTTATTGCCCTGTTTAAAGTGTTTTGAATTGTTTTTAACTGCTTTTAACGTGTGTGCTTTAAAATTGGGGGGTTTTGTTGTTTAAATGAAGGGACGTAGGATGTACCTGGGAGAGAGGGGCTAGGGAGAGCAGGGGCCACCCTAATTTCAGTGGTTCTCGACAAGGAGAGGTATGGAAGCACAAGCCAGGGAAGGGGCATATGGCAAAAAGCAATTAGTGACTGTGCCATATGCTAGCCCTTCCTCCAACCTGGGGAATTATGGTTGTCCTGTCAGCCAGCCCTTGAGTCTGTGGCTGTTGCTGCTGAATGCCAGGTTGGTTCTGAGTAAAGCCTCCCTCATCCATGATCCGATTATGAATGAGGGGGCCAAACTGGTCTGTATCACTGAGACCTGGGTGGGTGCGCAGGGTGGAGTTGGTCTCACCCAGCTGTGCCCACCTCGGTACTCGGTGCAGCATCAGGGCAGAGGAGGGTCGGAGTTGCTGTGGTCTGTAGAAATTCCATTTCTTTGTCCAGTTGGGAAGTGATCCAGAGTGTGCGTCCCTAGCAATGGGCAATTGCATCAGATTAGAGATTCTGCTGGTTTACCACCCACCTCCCTGCCCAGCGGTCTCCCTGCTTGAGCTGGCAGAACTGGTCTCAGAAGCGGTGTTGAGGACTCCCAGACTGCTGGCTTTGGGAGGCTTTAACATCCATATTGAGGTGACTGACTCTGGGGTGACTCATGGCTGCCATGACAACAGTGGAGCTGTCTCAACATGTCACTGGCCCAACGCATATGTCAGACCACACTCTGGATCTTGTTTTCTCAACTGGGAAGGAAGAGGGTGGTCTGAAAGTGGGGGATATTGACATCAGTCCCTTGTCATGATCAGATCACTTCATGTTGAGATTTAGGCTTTCAGCACATTTCCCCCTCTACAGAGGTGGGGGACCCATGAGGATGGTCCACCCTCAGAGGCTGATGGATCCAATGAGATTCCAGATAGCTCTGGGGTTTTTCCAGCTGATATGACTTGCACTGCTGTCAAAACCTTGTCTGACCTCTGGAACATCTGAATGGTTCAGGCTGTTGACATGATTGCCCCATAGTGCCCTCTCCTGCTTCATGGAACCTGCTTGGCTCCCTGGTGTACTCCAGAGCTTAGAGTGAGGAAACAATCGAACGCTGGTGAGGCATCATCACCATGCCTGCCTAGTGGGAGTGAATTGAATCCTCATTGTGCCAACTGGCAGAGCTTCTCCAGGTAGTGCAAGACTTCTTCTTTTTTTTAAAAAAAATCTTTATTTATACAACAACAAAAACACACACAAAGAAACACAAATACAAAATTACACACAAATTACAAAAATAACCATAGACACATAATTTTCTTGGCAAACAATAAAACATCTATTGGTCTTAACACCAAAGACCCAACTTCCCGTCTATTCCATATTTCAAATTCATATTACTTATTGCCAATGCACATTTTCATAATTAAACTTATTCTCAATAAATCTAATTTATTCTATCTACCTAGCAACTATTACTGAAGTTCCTCGAATTTAAACTACTATATTTATTTTTCAGATATTCTTTAAAAACCTCCCATTTAGAAACAAATTCCTGTTTTGATTTATTCTTTATCTTTTCTGATAAACCATCTAATTCGGCATATTCTGTCAGCTTTTGGTAGTGCAAGACTTCTTAAGAGTCTAGCCAGAAGGAAGCGGCAGAACCGCTATGACTTGTATGCAAAGCAGTTTGAGGATAAAATCGCTTGAATCCACTGGGATCTTGACTCCTGGTACAGCAGATGAATATCAAAGAGTGTCCAGAGCACTTTCTGGTCTGGTTGTGTTGGATGAGTTTCAGTTAGTAAGGCTCAAGGATGTGGACAAACGTGCTTGGATCTGTCAGGGTCCACTTGTGCTCAGGACCCTTGCCCTTTTAGGACCTGAACCAATGGATTCAAGTCAGAAGAAATGAGATTCTGTTTAAACATCAGTAAGAGCTTTCTGACAAGGAAGAGTTGTTTGACAGTGGAACAGACTCTCCTTCATTGGAGCAGAGGTTCATAGACTAACAGAACTGAATCACAGAAACTTTATTGGGCAAGGTTCTTGAGCAGGTGGTCGTGGACCATATCTAGGAGCTCTTGAAGGAAACTAATTTTCTAGATGCATTCCAATCTGGGTTTAGGGCCAGTTTTGGCACAAAAACTGCTGTGGTCACTCTGTATGATAATAATTTTGTGACTCCTCTCATCTTCAATGCAGTTCCTCATGTCCCTTCTGAATCTACCCTAGAGGGTTGGGCAGTTTGTGGAGAGTGGGTACTGTAGGGAGAGGGATTGTCAGAAATTGCCTTTTCTGTTCTGCTGTCTGTGAGTAGATCATATACCAGCTACTAAGTATATATTTAATAGCTTCTCAAAACTTTCATAACTCAAGCTCCCAGTTCTTTCTTTCTTTTTCATAAAAACACACAGAGACACCTGGCTGTAATTTAATCAATGGAAACTGAAAGTGCACTCTGAGTTGTATTGGAGAACATTTATAGAAAGGTGATCTATAAACCTTTTAAATAAATACCCTTCCAGCTGTGTAGCACACACTCTTGACTATACTCAGAAGTAAGTCTGTTGATTTCATTGAACCTGCTTCCTAGCTAATGTGCCTTTGGCTTCAATCCTATGCAGTACACAATTACCTAGGAGCAAGTCCACTGAGATACCTGCTTTTTCCAATTAAATGTTCATAGGATTGCACATGCTTGAAATGCTTGAAAATACAAACCTGCAGAGGGCAGAAGGGAAGCAGGGGGTGGGGGTTGAGCCCAATTATTTAGTAATGATAATTGGGGGGATTGACCCCAATTATTTGGTAATGATAAAAAGAACAATTCTGTGTGTATGGATCCATAAACACAGGCAGTTGGGAAAGATTTTGTATTCATGCATTGTAACTCAAAGAAATAATAATTTGTGGCTACAACTTGGGAATAAAGAAGTTTTAATATTGACAGTGGGACGCGGGTGGCACTGTGGGTAAAACCTCAGCGCCTAGGACTTGCCGATCACATGGTCGGTGGTTCGAATCCCCACGGCGGGGTGCGCTCCCGTCGTTCGGTCCCAGCGCCTGCCAACCTAGCAGTTCGAAAGCACCTCTGGGTGCAAGTAGATAAATAGGGACCGCTTACCAGCGGGAAGGTAAATGGCGTTCCGTGTGCTGCGCTGGCTCGCCAGATGCAGCTTGTCACGCTGGCCACGTGACCCAGAAGTGTCTGCGGACAGCGCTGGCTCCCGGCCTATAGAGTGAGATGAGCGCACAACCCTAGAGTCTGGCAAGACTGGCCCGTACGGGCAGGGGTACCTTTGTTGTTGTTTAGTCGTTTAGTCGTGTCCGACTCTTCGTGACCCCATGGACCAGAGCACGCCAGGCACTCCTGTCTTCCACTGCCTCCCGCAGTTTGATCACACTCATGCTGGAAGCTTCAAGAACACCATCCAACCATCTCATCCTCTGTCGTCCCCTTCTCCTTGTGCCCTCCATCTTTCCCAACATCAGGGTCTTTTCCAGGGAGTCTTCTCTTCTCATGAGGTGGCCAAAGTATTGGAGCCTCAGCTTCACGATCTGTCCTTCCAGTGAGCACTCAGGGCTGATTTCCTTAAGAATGGAGAGGTTTGATCTTTTTGCAGTCCGTGGGACTCTCAAGAGTCTTCTCCAGCACCATAATTCAAAAGCATCAATTCTTCGGCGATCAGCCTTCTTTATGGTCTAGCTCTCACTTCCATACATCACTACTGGGAAAACCATAGCTTTTACTATACGGACCTTTGTTGGCAAGGTGATGTCTCTACCTTTACTTTAATATTGACATATTTGCTTTGCTTCTGTGATCATTTAGTCAAAGCAAATAAAAATAAGTCCAATGTGAACAAAGTTCAGAGGGGTTATTGAACTATGCAATTAGTGTCTGCTGAAAGCAAAACTTAATCATCTTCTGAATTTTTAATGAGGAAATTTTACAGGGCAAATTTATATTATTT